CGCACCAGCTCCGGATCCAGCTCCTGTCGGCGGCGGCGCACCTCCAGACATGGCGATGAGCAGTCGTGCAGGAGGCACTCCCCAAAAACCTGATCACCCGCCTACCCGGTGCAGATCTCAGGCGAAGGTGTGGTTTCGGAGGCACTGCTTCTTCCAATCTCTCGTGCGCGCAAGAGATCAGAAGCGGGGAAGCGAGAGCAACTCAGGCGCGGAGAAGGAGAAACTAACACCGGGAAAGAAGCGAGGAACTCGGATCGGACTCGCGGCCTCCTTATCTATCAGGAGAAAGAACGTGGACGCGCTGTTGCGGAGGGAATCGTGGGAACGTGGGTTAGTGGCTGCAAAAGGATAGCGACGTGACGCACGCACGCCGCCAGCCAGCCTCGCCCTCGCCCACGCCCACGGCCCGGCCCGGCGCGCGCGCGCGCGCGCGTGTGGCATTCCGACCCCCACCTCAACTGGTCAACAGGGAGCCTCTAATAACTCCCTATTTAGGTTGAGATATTTCTCGCTTAAATCCAGAGGTGGTATTATTATCCTCAACATTTATTATGGGCCTTTGAGATTTAATATTATAAGTTGGGCCTAGCCCAATTATTCTAACACAGGTACGTGCTATACCTCCCTCCCTCCGGCCTCTCTCTTTCTCTCCTCTTTTCTCGGTAACTACTCCTATTTTTTCGCAACACCTATATCTATCTTCAGATTTTCTAACTACTAGTAATCGTGCACGTGCAATGCACGTTTTGCACAAAATGTATCATAGGAGTGCATTGAAAATAGAAAACTGTTATCTACCAAAAAAAATATTAACCAAAATTTATAAAACACATCCCAAAGAAGCGATAAAAAAAACTAACGTTATCTGTACTTGTTATTCTCTTAGCACTTGACCAACATAAACTTCCACTTACTCTCAAGCATATTACCAGGGCAACATATCCTATGCACATAGGCCCTCACGTGTACACACGTACACACCAACTAAAAAATATCACCAAAAAATCTAGAAAAAATCATACACATACTTTCAATTGTATTACACTTAGGGTTAAAATCTTAACGTCAAATTTATTATATTTTAGCCGTAACAAAAAAAACAAAAAATCTGACAGTTTTAAGGTTGCAATTTTGTCAGAATTTTATCTTTTTTGTTATTCTCTATGTAGAATGAATTTGAAGATGCGACTTTGCACGTAAATGTAATATTATTGAAAGTACATGTATGAATTTTCCTAGAATTTTTTGTGATAATTTTTAGTTAGTGTACACGGTGTGTACACGCGAGGGCCTGTGTGCATAGGATACGCTCCCTATTACCAGTATACCAACCACAACCAAACAAAGTAAAATCTTAGCATTTGTTGGATCTTGAAATGGAAGAAACACATAGACTATACATACTGAAATTTATTTGTGTGGTTGTATACGTCATCCTAATAAATTCAGGTTTGAATAAATTAAATAGCATGACATCTTTGCTTCTTATCATGTATAGTTTGAATTAATTGAATAGCATGATATCTTTGCTAAGAGACATTCTATAAGTAAATTAAAAAAACAATCTCTTTTTTTTAAAAAAATACAATATGCTACAAACGTGCAAAATAAATCCCTACAACATGCATAAACTGTGTCCAATCCAATAATCAGATATCACCTACAAAATAATGGGAGAATTGAAGTAAGAGTATGATAAATAAGCTAATATAATGAAAATGTTCACGATATGATTCAAAATAGATGAAGGGGGTGGGGACATAAGAAACTCATTTGCAAAGAAAAATCAACTTGAAATAAAATATTGACTAAGTAGCATTTTAATGAACATCTTCGGCTAGCAGAAGCATCACCGATTTGCCATCTTCCTCCTTTTCTACTGTTACAAACCCAACAGCATAAAAAAGGTAGAAAAAAACAGATGGCACAGGGAGTTCTCAAACCTTTACAAGCTTTACCTAAAAAAGCAAACTTATTTGCTCCAACCAAACGACACGTTTGAAATCCGATTTATTCTAAAGGTCCAATGACGGCCTATCGTTGTTCCATTATGTTTGCTCCAACACCACTATTTTCATGTGTACACGCCAACTTGCAAACAAAAAGAAAAAAGGGAACTTTCAGCACCACAAAATAAGATTCTCTTTTGATTCAGAAAGTGTGAATATTTTGTTATTTTTTTATCTAGCATAAGAAACTTATATATGGGTCAAGAACTACCAGATGCAAGTAAGCCATAATTTCTTTAGTGGTGCATGCTAGTATTAAACTTGAACTCAATTTGATAAAAAAAAAAGCTGCACAAAATAGTGAGACTACAGTATATAATTTCCTTCAATCCCTATAATATGGAGAAGTTTTCTTGTCTGAAGGAAATGGAGAAGTCAATTCAATTTGGTTAGAATGGAGTTCTAGAACTGAAAAACAATATTCATAAGAATTTTAAAAATGTGATGTAAGAACATGAACAGCTAAGCAACTAAAAAGGTGGATTGCAATCATCACATTAGATCAGAAATTCAGAATCACTTGCATAAAGAGTCCACAAATCAAATGTCAAAATATAATTAACCCTGCTAGAGCCCTTTCATGTTCCAAGAATAATAAGTAAACGTTTTATAGATCATGAAAATCATCATTTGAACTCTAACATGATTCTTGAGTAGCGTGCTCCTGAGTCCTCACTCATAAGTGGCAGGCATGCCACAGGCACATATATACATATCCACGTAGAATACTGCATCACTATAGAATACATAATGTTGCCCTCAAATTAGAGCATTATCTACCATCATTAGCTGATGAGATCACTTGGAGTCCTGGACAAAACAACTCCAACATGCCAATCTGCATTAAATCATGCATGCAAGTAATATATATGTTGTTCTAAGAAATAGGAACAACGGGTGAGTTCTGAGTGATAGAAATGAGTGCAGCCTAGAGGGACGGATGCCATCTCAGGTCCACATAACTGGACGCGCATTTCAACAAATAGGTAATGGGCATCTAGATTTTAAATACTTTACCACAGAAAAATATAAATATCCAAATGTTAGTTCTATCAAAGGTGTTCAGTACTTTGATTCTACAAAAGAATAGAAAATAGAAGTTTTAGATTCAATTTTAGGCATTATCAACCAAGGATAATAGAGTGTACATCAATCCAAAATTTCTTTATATAAACATGTACGGACTCATAGAGATGAGAACATCTGATTATGATCCTTCCTTGCAGCTTCTGAGGTGAACCTGCCATTGACCAACCAAATTTCGTAGCTAGAAAAGAAAATCGTAGTTTAACAGGATAACTGATATGAAACCATGGCTGAATATATCAGTGTCACCACTTCATGATATGGTTCCAAGCCATTAGTAGCCAAAATTTAAGAAAATGGCGTAGATGATACATGACATCAAAGTCTTACCAGTGTCTACAGCAAAAGATTATTGGAGTATATGACAATAAACCTGAAAGATGTCGCATACAAGAAAAAAAATGTTCGGCAGTAAAAGTTCGCGCATATCTAGTAGACAGGGGAAAACAAGATGTTAGGATACACTGTCACAGTCACAAACCACACTATATGAGGGAATCTGATAGCTCAAATGCGTTCTTTATTTTGGAATTTGGCAGAACAAAGGGAAGCAAAAATAAAAACAAAAAACTGAAGAAAAAAAAATCCACATACCCTGAATATGGATCTCTTAGTACCCGACAGTATGATTTAGGGGATCAGTGTACACCTTAAGTATCCTTGTGGGTAAGGACAGATTGTAGAACAATTCAACAGATCCATGAGTTTTCGTGATCATAATGAAAGGAACCTGGAAATGAAATTGATACAAATAAATATTCTCTTTCTTTAGGAAAATAATATGCATGGTGGAATAAAAAAAATATTTTGTCAAATCCCAAATATTTGAAACTCTTAGAGGAAGTATAACAATGTGAATTTTCTCCATCTAAAGATACTGGATATATATACAAGACAACATAATCACAATTTCAAGACAAACCATACAGACATTTTGACAAGCAATTCATGAGCAGCGAGTTTTTATAAGCAACACCATGAACACAGGCCAGAAGTAGTCAAGCTAGCAATACAGAATCTTATTTACTTCAATTCCGAAAGAGTAACAGTAGCTAGGACGGATCGGTGGACAGGATTGTTGGCTGTGTGGGAGAGAGCGATAATAAATTTTGCTCTGCAAAGACAGCCCAAATACCAATATTAGTTAGCATCCAAATGTAATAGTATTGATTAGTATCCATCCATGGGAGGAGGATGTGGCCCGTGGCAGCACACGGGCGCAGGAAGGGCTGACGGACGGGGTGCGCAGAGACAATGGCCTGGCAGGCAGTCAACGACAACGCGGTGAGAAGGACCGATGGCAGTGAGGATGGCGAGGAGCACGGTAAGTAGGGCAACAACAGGCGGCGAGAAGAACCGTCGTCGCGTGGCCGGTGGATGGGTCGCAAACTCGCAAGGAGACGATGGCCTGGGCGGCGAGGAGAGCGTTTTGAGAATACCCGCAGCGGCGTTAGAGGAGGGAGGAGGTATCCGTATCATCGTCAGAGGATAGAACGGCGGCGGGCTTAGCGCACGGAGGAATTTGTGGCGGTCGAACTCGGCGCATCCGCTTGTGGGGTTAGTGAGTATTCAGCCGTTAGACGGCAGGATCTGATAGCTGTGGATTAAATGAGAGAATTATGTGTGCATTTAAAAAAGAATGTAACTCCTTTTTATATCAGTAATAACTAGTATAAGCCAATATCAATTAAACCAGATATATCCTCTCCAACTAATATAAATCAAACTCGTCATATTGCAAGAGAACATTTTTATTATGCACAACCCATATTAATAGTGGTAGTAAAAATATGATATAAACTTATGATGTTTATTTCATAATTAAATTCCTTGTGGGTTTCATAATACATTAAGGGACTATATGTCGGCTATTGTAAATAAACCTGTTCAAAACTTAAATGTTCATGATCTAAACAGTATATACATCAAATCCCCGATACTTGTGTTTGTGCTATATACAACTGTATTCTCATCCACTTATCCTTTCTTACGTAACAACGCACAATACAGATTACAAAGCAATTACTTGCAAAGAACTTTGCTAGTGAAAAACTGGTTGAAAGAGATAGTAAACAGATAAGTGGAGGAACATATAGTGCTTATGTATATCAGATGAAAGTAAGATAAATGTGAGAAAATACAACGCACATACATGGCTATAACTTCGAATATAACCTTTCCATGGCACTTGCATTTCATAAAGTAACATGAGGGTATGTTGACAAGTAACTGCATTAGCTATCTTTTTTTCCCTAATCAGAATATTTTGGAGTTACCTGCCAAATGTAGCTGAATTTGTTTTAACAAATCGAAATGTAGCTGCCAAGCAGCAAGCCAAAAAGAGGTACCAAAATGTGCTGTCGTTGTTAGCTAGTTGGATGGCTGCAAGTGGGAAAAGGTCAAAAAAAACGCTTGTATCTCAATTTGGCAAAAGATGGACTGATTAAAAACACACAGACACAATTTTGCAATAGAGGCGTGATGTGCCTGTATCTCAATATAGTAAGAAAAGATCAGAATGGTCAGGCAGAAGGAATAATTCTTAGAATGAATTAACAACATGCGCTTGGATAGACAATAATTGGCATATGGCTCTGTATGAGAAAACATCAAACAACAGTTTCCATATTTCGTAATTTCTGTCATTCACAAATGAATCACATTACATAACTTCTAGGTACAGCAATAATATAGTTAATAAAATCATGTAAAAATGCCATTTATACAGTATAAGCAGTAGAAATATGAAGGGCCAGATCAACGCGGAAATAATTTTGCTAAATAACCATCCTTGACTTTCATTTGTGATGAACAACCACCTTACTGTATTATATATAGCTCTCTTGCTAGTAGTATTTCAATTAGTGTATGTGAAGAAAAAAAAATCAAATATTCAATTAGTATTCATACATTGGTAGAAGGTCATGCCCAGATTGTTGTTTGTGATCACATTCTTCCTTTTGAAGAGAGTGCTCAGCCAATGTATAGGATTGGCCTACATGATCTGAAGTCCCCTTTCTAATGCAAGTAGAAAATAATTAAGGAATGAAGCTAATGTTGGTGCTGATAAAAAAGATATGGAATTGAATTCTATCAATCATGGAAAAAGTTGACCAATAAACAATGGCAAAATTATGGATAGTAGTGTGTCTGGCATATACCAACATTCTGTTTTGCATGGGCTAGAAGATTCAATGAAAATAGTGCAGATACCGTGTTCGCAAGAACAAGACGATAGTGCATATATATGAGAAAAAAAGTGACCATAATCCCTAACCTTGACACATGACAATAATCCCTCCTTCGCATGTGCAGTTCTTCAGTGCAAACTAAATTCACCAAAGAAATACTCACTGTTAACAAACTGCATCTAGTAGACAGTGTTGCTTTCCATCATCTCGTTGTCTTGTGCTCTTAATTCCTGACAAATCAGGAATCAAACAAAAAAAACAAAAATTTAGATGATGGAGTGATAGTTTGAAACAAAGAGATCAGGCTCATATAGTCCCTGGAAAATCAGGAATCAAACAAATTTAGATGATGGACTGATACAGGGAATTGATGGCTCATAGACAAAGAAGATGCGGCCAAGTTCATGGAGCTCATCCATGAAGTCGTGCTGGCACTGACATTGAAGTCAGCCAGGCCTCCAACCAATCTAATTTTTGAGTAAATACACTGAGTATTTTTCTGCAATTTTTTGTAGTCTTAGAACAATCCATTGGATTTTTTTGTCCATGAGTGAATGAAGCCGTTACCTGCATCGGATGCTTCTTCCCGGCTGCACCTCAGGGCACCGGCGGTGGGGAAGGCACGTGCGGGGTGGAGCCCCAGCGCTGGCGGCGGTGAGGCGCGGACTGGTTGGAGGGCAGGCGACGGCGCCGGCGCCGGCAGTAGAGAGGCGTAGCCACCGGCGGAATTTGAGGGGCAGGCGACGGCGCCCGCGGCGGCGGTAGGGAGGCGCAGCCACCAGGGGAAGGGAGGTGTGCCCGATGGTGCCGGTGGTAGGAAGGCGCGGCCACCGGTGGGGTGGAGGGCAGGCGGCAGTTTTGTCGAAGAAAACAATTTGCGGGCGGAAGTGCGGCGTAGTAATCGCGGGGTCGCCGAATCGGTGGAAGATTTCACATAACATATTGACGGATGAGATTATTCCACCTAGCGGATGAACGGATAAGATAAGATGAGGTGATTTGGCATGTAGGATTGGAGGGGTGAACTCCTCCTTTTTATATTAGCATAGATAAATATAGACGGATGAATTCACACATGAGGTGCTGGGGACTGATTTGGCCGTAGGATTGCAAGATACCAACTCCTCCTTTTTATATTGGTATAGATGTTTACCTGTGAAAGTTTTGCACGTAAAAAAAAAGTTCCACTGTTCCACATACGTGCACGTGCATACATACGTACTCTCTTTTTTTTTCTTTTTTTCCCTTCTTCTTGTTAGATGAGATAGAAAACCAAATTAATAATTTAATACACATATTAACTGTTAATATTTTAAGTTCTAAAATGAACTTTAATAGATTAGAAAAAAATTTAAGAAAATCTGAGGAAAAAAGTAAAACATTTATTCATCAATTTTCATTTAAATTAGTAGATCTTTTATCTCAGATTATTAAATTAAATCTATTAATAACCTCACACATAATCTCTCTCACCGCACCGACGAGAGAAAGGTACTTACATACTGCTCATAAAAAAACAAAAAAAGTACAACTGTAACGTGACGTACGATTAAAAACAAATAAATATATATTACATATATCATTAAAAATTACATCCGCTTCCATCTCCTCCCCTCTTTTCTCTACGCATGTATAGATGAGATCGTAACTATAATTAGTGATATTAAATTTTAAAGAACTATAACTTTATAAGCATAGATTATATATATCACAAGATATACATAAATAAATTAGATCCATAATCTTTGGAAATAAAATTTTTAGGATTCTATTATTTTACCCATTATATTAACAATATAATATAATTTTATTTAGAAACATTATTTTAAAAAACACGTGGTTTAAAATAAAGGTTACACAACTATATTTTATACCATTAATTATCAATTTATGATCTATATTAACTAATTTATACTCCCTTCGTTTCTAAATATTTGACGCCGTTGGCTTTTTTAAATATGTTTGACCGTTAGTCTTATTTAAAATATTTAAGTAATTATTAATTATTTTCCTATCATTTGATTCATTGTTAAATATACTTACATGTATACATATAGTTTTACATATTTCACAAAAGTTTTTGAATAAGACGAACGGTCAAACATGTGCTAAAAAGTATACTATTTTTAATAAAAATATTTTGCCATCGATTTTCACTTAAACTGACGGACCTATTAATTAATTAATTAGGCAATCATATATATCTTTCATAAAAAAATTAAAAAAAAGCTTCTAAAGACCTCTCTTCAGGCCTCTGCACAACACATGTTCATATTTACCTTCTGCACATATGACAAAAAGCATCGTACCTAAGGCAGCTAAAAGTGATTACCAAAGTGATCATGACTGTCAATAAACACTACACATACTAATTAAATTTATATAATTTCTCTCTTATTTCAAACAAATATTATTTCGAAGAATACAATTGAACATGTGAAAAACAAAAAAAAAGGCTTTAAACAATTGCTGATATTTTTGCACTACTAAACCAAGCAATAGTGTAGATGATTTGTGTCCTAACATAAAAAAGTCTTCAATTCTTTAAAAGTGTGGAAAAATATGAACATTTTGAACTTCTACGAATGGAGAAACAATCCAACCGTTAATCTATCCTTAATTTGGTTGTTACTAAATCATGCATCTTCATAAGGCGATTCAGTCACAATAACTTTGAATTTCTTACTATCACAGTTTGTGCTTATAGCAATATTGTACATAATATTTACTTACTTGATCCAAAAGTCGAACTCATATGGACTTGATTTATCATCTAACATGAATGATATTTGGACATGGCCACCCTATAGTTTACCCTTATGAGATGAAATTTCGGAAAAAAATAAATTAAATATCATGTTTTAATAATACGGATGCCCATGCATCGCGTGGGCCACCTTTCTAGTTAATTACTAAAAATCTATATCATTTAACACCATAATGTTAATGTTTTCAGATTCATCATGAGAAAAATAAATTTTATAATATATAATTTACATGTTGCTAACTACACGAATTCCTAAAATTTAAACCAAATTTAATGGTTAAAGATCAAAATGTTTGACAAACGAAAAAAAACTAAAATAACGAGTACATTCAATTCTATCATAAAGTTACCCTGTTAAATACTCCCTCCGTTTCGAAATGTTTGACACCGTTGACTTTTTAGCACATATTTGACCGTTCGTCTTATTCAAAAATTTTTGTGAGATATGTAAAATTATATGCCTACATAAAAATATATTTAACAATGAATCAAATGATAGAAAAAGAATTAATAATTACTTAAATTTTTTGAATAAGACGAACGGTCAAACATATGATAAAAAGTCAATGGAGTCAAACATTTCGAAACGGAGGGAGCAGTACAAAGTAGTTCAATTGCCGCGCAAATGGACAAATTCTTGCAGAAATGTACGCTTCCAATGCCATTCACGTGCGAACCTTTTGGGGGGCGTTTGCTTTCTACTCTTCCGATGCAAAATCATGGCAGCGTGCAACTAGCAAAGCGTGTGATACACACGAGACGGCAAAACAAATGCAACTGCCACAACGGTCCGCAGACAAGCGAACGTCAACTTGGGCCAGATTAGATGATACTCCTAGCCACTACACATCTTGATTCTTGAAGGTTTATTATCACTGGTACACTAGTTGTATATTGCGATTTGATTTGCAACACAGCATGCATGCGATCCGTGTTTGTGCTACCCCCAGAGAACCAAAGGACAAGGAATAATCCTATTGGACAATGTCAGTCTGTCAGTGTGTCAATCTGAGCTCACATAGCATAGGTTTTCTTGTGTGTAACAGCAAGTAAAAAAAGGTGATGTAAGTGAATTGTACGCGTTGTCATATTATATTTTTTTTTCTTATATGGAGGAGTAAGGAGGGGAGAGAGAAGCAAAACAGACTACAGATTTATAACCAGCTATATTTGAGCTTCAATAAAAATTATGTGAGATGGATGGGTAGATTAGAAATTAATGATTGTTGTCGAATGATAATCGCTTCACGTCGAAGGACGTGGTAAACTCAATGAGTGGTTGGAATAGTAAAGCGATATATTAATTGGTAAAATTTTTTGGGATCCCCCATTACATGGCCCTAGGGGGCTATTTATAGTCCTAGTACAGGCTCATACCCTTAAGGGCAGAGCTAGAGTGAGATGGAGGGGGTGCCACTTGTTTAATTTACTCTGCTTTATATTAAATTTAAGCTAATACGGGTATCTAAATTTATATAGAGGGGGGTGCACACATGGTGAAAATAGGTCAGGTATAGCTACAAATTTTTATTGACCGAGTTCCTGGGCACCCCCTCTGTACTCTAGCTCCTCCCTGCATACCCTCTAGGGTTTGGTTAGTATAGGAGAATTTACATGGTTACCCTTATGATAGGAATATTACAATGGGTATATAGAGTCTTTTGTATTCATGGGCCCTAAGGTGGCCTCCTTGAGCCGGCCCATTAGTTGGCGAAGGGCCTCTATGGGCCGCTGTGCCTCCCAAGCCCTTAGCCGAAGGCATTTCTTACTTCGGGCGATGGCCTCATGCTTCGCCCTACGGCCTTCGCCAACTATAGATCTTCGATTGTTTGATGAGCTTGGAGGCAAACCCTTCGGTCTTCATTACACAGCTTCGCCCAGGTATGATGGCGAACCCCTTAGTCTTCGTCGTTCGGTTTTGCCTAAGGGCATCACCCTTGGCGTCCGTCTAGGACTTAGCCAATGCTTGATGGTTTAGATGGTTTCAGCAGGTCGGTCGAAGGCCCTCGTGAGCTTTGGTCAAGACTGTGCAAGATGTGTGGTATGCCATGAGGCGCCCCCTTTCGGCTGATGTTCCTGCCGAAACTTACCTTTCGCATGTAAAACTCAACATTTGTAATTTGCCTTTTTGTCATTTGCCTGTGTTCGGTGAAATCCTTCTTTCTTTCTTCTTCTTTCTTTTGAGAGAATCCATTATATACCACTAACTTTGTCATACGTCTACGATTTGCCACCGACTTTGTCACGTTCTACAATATGCTATTGACTTTTGCTTAACTTCTACGATTTACTATCGTCGTCCGGTTAGCCTCTGTTAGTACTGTGCAATTTTGTCCAAATGACCAAAATACCCCTAGGAAAAAAACTTCCAAAAATTGGATAAAAATTTCAAAATATCATATTATAAACATAAGATTGTAAAATGTGGGTCCCACCATTTCTTTTCTGACTTTAAGTGTCACATAGACGCCACGCCAGCAGCTGAAACCGCCGTTCAAACCACCTTGGGACTTTATTTGCACTAGTTTTGGGAGTTAAGGGACACGTCATATGTAGTATTGTGGTTCAGGGTAGAATTTAGACTTGGTGACAATTGAGGGACTTGAAGTGAACCTATCCTTTCCCGACAGATGAGAATCGTTGGCGCCGGCTGTCAGCCCGCCCTGCATGCCAGCCCATACTCAGATTCTCGTTCTCCCAGGCCTGAACCGATGGGCTTTTATTCTAACATAATAAGTCTATCTTTTCTTCCTCATTGGCTCATTGCTTACCTGTGATTAAATGGCATCCTTCAGCCGTATAAAACCGGAGGATGCTACGCGTCGAATGTCGAACAAAATTATCTCTAAAGTCGAAACTAAAAGGAACGTATAAACCAATACTTCTATAGATTCGATCGTGGTTTATTTACAACTAGCTGGGTGGCCCGCACAATTGCGCGGCTAGCACTGATATAAAATTATCTATTTTTTAATATAGTTTTACTTAGAATTTTGTTAAATAGATATCTCGTTGTTTTAAGACTTTGAAAAACCAAACCTTATCATCCCTGTGTTTCTAATTTTATATTTTTTAAAAGTTATGTCAGTTGCTACTTCTAAATATTTTGTCACCCCTCATTTATTTGCTTCCTCGATCTACCACTACTTCTATTTGTTCTCACTAAAACCTCTAAAAATTAGACCTTATAGTTTTTAGAGTTTATTGTCTCGTTTGGGTTTTGTTTTTATAATTTTCAGAAGTCTCGTCAAATGCTGCCACCATACTACTCTACGGTCAATCCACTGCCTCTTCTCTTTATTTTCATTGGGATTTTAAAAATCAAACGTAATTACCATTTAGGTTCTTTTTTACTTTCTAGAAGTTCCACCAAACTGTCAGCGACTTTACCCCTGTACTCATGTACAGCTCACCCGCTGCCCCCTCTTTATTGTCTTCGAGATTTTAAAATTCGAACATGATTATCATTGGGGTTTATTTTTTTTTACTTTTTAGAAGTCCCGCCAACCGTTGTGACCATGCTACTTAATGACCCGTCCATCGTCCCTCCTTTTAATCATCATTAGGATTCTATTTGGGGTTTTGTTTATAGTTTTTAGATATTCCATATAACGCCACCACTCTAATCCTTTACATACATGTTGCTTCTCCTATATTTTTTGTCATTTGTCATCTTACTTCTCTTCGGCCTGTTCACTACCTCTTCTCTTTATTGTCATTAGGATTTTAAAAATCGAACATAATTATTATTTTGGTTTATATTTTACTTTCTATAAGTCCCGCCAACCGCCATGACCGGGCTGCTTAACGGCCCATCCGTCGTCCCTCCTTTTAATCGTCATTGGGATTCTATTTGAGGTTTTGTTAATAGCTTTTAAATGTCCTATCAACCGCCACCATTCTACTTCTTTATAAACATGTTGCTTCTCCCCCTCTTTATTGTTATTTGTCATCATTTGTGTTCTAGATGGAGTTTTTTTAGAAGTCCATATTTTTCATTCCGATATTTTTATTTATAAATTATATTTCTACTTGAACTCTTATAATTATTTTTATATTTACAGAATTTATTCTTTTTTGTTATTTCAAGTTTTAGTTAATCTCGTCATATGTTCTAGATGGTCTCTTATTTCAATAGTTTTTACTTTTTATGTCGAATTTAAGTTTAAATCATATTCCTAGTTGAACTATTATTTTTTATTTTTCTATTTTTGGAATTTATTTTAATTTTTATTTAGAATTTTAGTTAATATCGTATTATGTCTTATACGAATTATTTTTTAATATTTTTTTATTTTCAATTTATAGTTGTTTCATCCTACTCGAACTATCTTTTTTATTTATCCAATTTCAGATTTTATTTTATTTTTATTCCGAATTTTAGTTAATCTCGTATTGGATTCTTATATGGACTCTTCTTTTAATATTCCTTATTTTTAATTCCGAATTCCAATTATTTCTAGATTGTATTCCTACATGGAATCTTCTTTTTCCAATTTCAGATTTTATTTTATTTTAATTTCGAATTTTAATTAATCTCGTATTGGATTCTTATACGAGCTCTTTTTTCAATATTGCTTATTTGTAATTCCGAATTTCAGCTATTTTTAAATTGTATTTCTACTTAGACTTTTTTTTTCTCCGATTAATGTGGTAATTTCTAGCCCCAACAGCGAACGTGGTGCTTTCTTTTCGAGCTGTTTTAATAATATAATAGATTATAACTTCCACACCTATTCATTTGTCATTTGGGATCATTTCCCGTATAAAAAAGGGAAAAGAGTCAAAGAAGGGATAGGAGATGTTTCCCATGTCAAATCAAAAAAGAGAGGCGAAAGATACCAAAGCAATGCGGCCTCAGACTGGCTGTCTCCTCGTAGTTGGATCTCCGACTTTTTGGAATGTTTCAAATTCCACTTGAGGGTATAACGCCTCCCCAAAACATCGGTGCAAATCGACTACTCCTATGATTTGGGAGATGGTTTTGCTAACATGGTATTGACCGCGGTCAAACCCGTTGATTCAGCGCATGGCCCAACATGCCAACTTGCAACCGGCCACGCGAAGACTGCCCGCCGTCCACCGCCCGTCCCCGGCGAGCCTCCCCAAGCAGTGCCGCGTCGTCGTTGCGGCCATGGGCTGCGACGGTAGCGGCGCTCGGCGGCGGCGATGGAGTTCTTGCAGTGCATGCAGGGTGCAGGTAGCTCCTCCCCATCGTGCTCTCCTCCGACGACGTCGGACACCTTCTTCAGTGACATCGTGCTGGTCACGCACGCAGCGACGCATGCAGGGGCCGAGAACACCTTAGCTCCCCTCGTGACGTACGTTTCGACGGGGCGGTGGTGGAGGCGACGCCCCCATGGCGGCCGCCGGCCGGATCGGAGATGATGAACGAGTGCCGCCTCCGCCGCAGCTCCCTCCTCCTGCGCCCAGCCCGAACATGGCCGGGCTAAAAACAAGAAGATCATATACTATATCTAGCTAGCTATAGCTAAGTAAATTAAAGCATGCACCACTCCACAGTTGTCCACAGTGTCCTTCTCACAGATCACGGATGCCTGTGAAGAAAAAAACAGTTGGAGGAGCCGATTTGCACTGGTTTTCACAGTTGAGAAAGACGTTATACCTGGTTTTGTGGTTAAAGGATACGATTTGATAAGAGATGAGGGAGGCAAAATAAACTTATTCCCATTCGAACGAAAAAGTTGGCCTGGCATGAAGCATCAATTGGGCTTGGTGGGGCTGAATCACACCACCCGTTAAAAACTTAAAATATGATACGGTTAACGGAGTAGAACAGATGAAACCTAACGAGGATGATATATTTTTTTTTTGACAAGTTGACTAGTATGATGGTATTTTCTGAAAGTTGCATTTGTCTGATGAGTGATGAGGTCAAGGGTGACCTACCTCTGTCCACAGTGAGTAACCTTTGCTTTTGCGGGAAAAGAGTAGCTTTTGCAACTTAATACAACCAAGCAAGTATGACAAGGTACTTGTGTACTTCACTTGTTCTTGTGTTATTCATGGTATATGAACATAACGCGGACATTATTTTGAAGGCATTTGCACAATTCACGATTGACTCCATGAAAACAGAAACATTGCACAAATTCTATGCGTACTGATAGAGTAAAAGAAAAAAAAAAGATGGTACCAGCGATGCTGCCATTACTCTCATCAAGCAAGGAGGCACACTAAATACTGGAACCAATCACTACTTCACTGGTGTACTGAAATCTTATAGTAATTCTATACGTGTGCCAAAAGTTTACGCCGTTCCAGTACTGCCATTACACTTCCATTGGCCGTGCACGCTCAAATGTCAAACTGCGCGTTGCAGCAGTTAACTGTCGCTAGGGTACAGTACATGTTACGCTGATCAGACAAGAACAAAGGTCTTCTTCTTCTTCTTGGATGGAGAAGCATCTTCAGAATTGAGCAGCTGACAGACGAGTGCTTGGGTGGATGGATCCTCTCATTTAACTCCATCATCATGTGGGGTTTCAATCTGGACCATACATATGCACATCCATCCCCTGTTTAGATCCAGCAGATTCCCTCGTTAATTTCGCCATGTTGTGGTTCGTGCCATCTCTGACAGAGGCAGGTATCATTCTGAAGTTGAGAGTTTCGGCTGTTTGTTACAGTGTTTCTTTGTACTGTAATGGTGTGTAGTGTACAGTAGTACCCTCTTAGCCTTAAAAGGATGCTCAGATGATGCCGGTTGCTGGATTATCATTAATTATGCTCTTCACCGAAATGTTTCTGTGGATTACTTGGCTTGGACTTGAACTCCAATCCAGAGAAATTTTTGACAGGATTAGGTTCCTCCTATCCGTGCTTGTTCCAGAGATAGGAGTATTTGATTATGTCTGTTACCAGCATCGTGGTACTGATGTTTTTTGGTCCATTTCTGCAATTATTCAGTTGTGCTAGACTGAGATATAAATCAGCAATTAGGCACCTATCAGAGCATTGAAGCTCTTGGTATTGTGTCACCCATCAAGCCAGGGAATCATCTCTACCTGTATCATGCTTCCATAGCTCTATTATTGAAGAAATATTTTAGATGTGCGCATTCTTGCAGAGGCCAAGAGTATGATTGGTATAGTTGTATATACTCAATGTAACTGACAAAATTCAATAAAAACTTTCATTATCTTTAAAAAAAGTATCCTCAGAATGCAAACAGAGATCATGATGGAAAACACTACATTATAAACGTTCATTCATCATTAGGCAGTCATAGATGCACAAATTTGATCTCTTTATTACCATAAATTATTACCCAGAGTCATTGACAAATGAAAAGAATCAGAGAACATGTCAAACATGGTACATCTGTACTACATCTTCTCAGTTTAATTTGGAACATATCTATACTGGCACCAGTTTCAACATTCATTTTGGAACATATCTATACTGGCACAGTTTACACATTCTTCCAAATGAAAACAAAAAAACTAAACAACTTTTACCCATATAACTTAATTCTTCAGTGACTGAAACCTTCTTCATTCATATATATTTTTGCACCAACAGCTGTGTTACATACAGTCAAAACCCCTCAAATTCTCACTTGAGGATTGGGGGCTCAGCATATGGCCCATTCAGCCAGCCATTGGCGACATAGCGGTAGGCGGCTTCGGTCATGTGGATGCCGTCCCAGCTCACGTACGACGACGGGTTGGAGCACACGCTAGCACCCTCCTCACCACACTTCTTCTTCAGGTTGAAGTTGTAGTTGCCCTGGCCTCCAGCACCACAGCAAGCCTGCATAGTCGAGCTGAAACCTGCAATGCCATATCATTGATGTTTAGACCATGATATCATCGTCGCACCAAATCGGAATAGTAAAATTTAGTCCTGGAGATCACAACTGACGAACTGTAAAATTCATTCCGGATGTACCTAAAGTTCTAAACATACACTGGAGATGCATTACAATTTACGGTTAGCATGCTATTGCACTGAGGAAGACTCACCAAAATTTCCAGGGCTGACGACAAACTGCATTGCCGCCTTGAAGTAGTCACCATACATGATTTTTGTCTCTGGGTACTTCTTTTGAAGCTCATCAAGCTGCTGCTTGAGCTCCCTGTTGTGATGGAAGGCGAGACGGTTGTATCTCCGGAGGCACCCGGTGCGGGCATTGTAGTCAGCTTTGCTGCTGGTGTTGTACAGTGTCAGGTACAAGGGGAAGCATCCAATTGGGAGAACTCCTGGTACCAGCAAGTCTTTCGCACCAAGTTCAATCAATTTCTGGGAAAATAAACACACAGATGGTTAACTAACAGTACTCAAAATGATTCATCAGTGTGTGGGCATGTTCCAGCTTTCATCTCAGTAAATTCTTTCAGTTATTCAACATCTGGCATGTGGTTAAAAATCTGTACTGCTGGAAACTAATCTCACTCCTAGAAATGTGCAAATCAAACATTTCCCCACACGACAGATTGAAAGCCATCGATTTATAGTAATAGAATAACATCACTACTTTACTGATAAATTTGTTCCATCTGCTTAAACTTTGGGGAAAACAGTCTATTTTATCCTACAACCCTTGTCATGTGACTGCCGTTTCATGATGGGCATGCACATAACAAAATGATTCCCTTCTTTCACCAGCCACAACTTTTGCATGCCCATCCTCTTCATTGAGCAATCATGATCCTATAGATCAAAAATCCCCACCTACACATCACATGGGGCTGCACTAAGCAACAATCTGATGCACTGTAGATTAACTCGATTTGGTAGACAAAGTACAACCCCATTCTATCACTGATATGCAGAGGTGATCAATGCAGGTGAAAAACAAAAGAAAGAAAAAAGAAAAAAAAATCCTTTTCAAAGCATCGCAGCCATAGCGGTTTCTTGTCGAGTGCCTAGGCAGAAGATTCTGCCATTCTGGTTTGGTACCAAATCTGTCACATGTTCTCCTCCTATTTTAGTGCAAATTGGACCGGTAATCCCAGTTGACTATTAGTAAACGTCACGTTGAGATCCATAGATCCAGAGCATTAATGTGTGTATTAACTGTGCCAATGCTTACCTAACAGCCAATCTACTCACAAATCTCACTGAATAGAATACAGACTTGTCAAGACTTACTGCACCCAACCCAAAGTACAGTATTTCTGGAATACTTTCCGAAGCTTATTCCCATTTGATCATCAGTAACTCATTTCAATTATATTTGTACCACATACAGTGTTCATTATGCAGCTTCCTTTTTTCTTTTTGGCTGTTTCTTTTTTCAGACAATATCTAGGTATGACATGTCTGGAATCTGCAGTGACACATACTTGCAGTACTCTGATTCCCTGGATCTCCAAATGCAGCACTACATTGTACTGCTCCTTCCATCACTACCTACTTCAGCAATGTGTGTGTGTGTGCATGTGCTTTTTTTTTTTTTGAGAAGGGTATTTTTTACCCCGCCTCTACATCCAACCGGATATATGCAGCCCGTTCTAATGGAGATTTGAACTCAGGACCTTGGATTGCTACTCAGGTCACTGCAACCGCTAGGCTACATGCCTTTTCACTCAAGTAGTGTGTGCATGTGCATTATGTGTTGCAACTCAAAGTAGTATCATCTTACTGTAGGAATTCTATGCAAATTCATCAGATTCATGGGCACATTCTTACCTCGACACCGTTGGCGATGGCCTTGGCGACGAGGGGGACGTAGGTCTTGACCTCGGAGAAGGCGACGCCGGAGAAGAGAGGGGCATTGTAGTCATTTCCCCCAAACTCCCCCACCACGAACAGTGACTTGCCGAAGTAGTCCTTGCACTCTGCAACATCATCCAAACCACACACACCCAATTAAACCCCAAACTGTTCATCCGGCTGAAACCTGCAACATGGCTGCATCTCCAAAAAAGACAGAAGAAATCAAGAAGTCCATGTGACCTTGGTCCGACTTGCAGAGGGAAGGCTTCATGTCCTGGAGCCATCCGATCTGGGTGTTGATGGAGCCGGTGTTCCAGATGCGCTGGTCGATGCCGTGCTGCTTGAAGAAGGAGTACTCCAGCGCCGTCGCGCCGGTGATGGCGAAGTTGGCGCCCTTGCTGAAGTCCGCGCCGTGCGCCTTCGACGCCGGCGGCAGCGGCAGCCCGAAGTGCTCCGCTGCAAGCCAAGGATCGCTTCTCCCATCAGATTAAGAACAAAAAAAACCCGCAAGTTTGGAATCAAATCGCTCTGCTTTTTTTTTTCTTTTTTGCTCTGAAACAAAAGCAGACAATGTTCAGAACGCGGTTCAGGCAATCGATTGGGAAGCAGATATGCTGTCGATTTGAGAGGCCTTGCAACAGTAATTATACTATCAGCTTTGTGTTTCTTTTTAGGAGTTGGAGGAGAGGAAAAAAGAAGAAGGAACTTTGGTTCATAATCGATTGCTTTGATGTGGCAGAAAGGAGGCAGCAATAATTTCACCATTGCAAAAGCGCAGACTCTTTTACTACTCCCAGAGTTTTTGAGGTTTGAAACACGGAACATAAAAAAAAAAAGGTTGAAGAGAAATTTGATTAATTAGTTGAGGTGTTCTGTAAAATAAACAGGAAAAGAAGAAGGGTCAATTGCATCATGACCAAAGGTCAGAGCAATGGTCTTCCCAAAATTGACACTTTTTAATAAGAGTACTAATAGCAAGACAGAGACATTTCTATTGGTTATTGCAAAATGACTCCATTAAACAAAGAAATAGTATATGTGAAGCGGTGGCAAGGCCAAGAGAGGGACAAGAGAAAGAAGAGACGCCATGGACGAGGAGCTAAGGTATTACCGAGGAAGTCGACGACGAGGCGGCCGTTGGAGCAGCGGCCGGTGGGGCGGCCGAAGAAGGTCATCCCGTAGGGGGCGCGGGCGGTGGTGAGCGACTTGGGGATGCCGTCGGCGATGAGGTTCCCGGCGTCGGACAGCGAGTCGCCGAAGCTGAAGATGGCCTCGTACGACTTCTTGCTCCTCGCCGCCGAGCACCCCGTCGGCGCCGCCGCCAAAAGCAGCACCACGGCGACGGCGACCAGCAGCTGCTGCCGCCGGCTGCACCGGCTGCCGGGCGCCATTGCTGCTGCTGTCTGCGTGTGTCGGCAGGAGGAGGCAATGGCGCGCATGTGGGTGAGACTGTGAGAGGAGAGAGACGGGGGTTAATTGGCTATTATAGGGCTTGTGTCCGTGTGGCGTGGCGCTAGCTCATGACTTTATATAAACTGCTGCTGCAGGGAGAGGTGAGGGGAGGTGTGGTTGGTTGGCACTGTGGTGCTTGAGATGGAATATGGATGGTGGATTCTAATAGGCAAAATTACCAGGGCCTTAGCTTTTTCGCTTAAGCTTATTTATCAGTCAAATTTTAATTTTTTAATTTTAAATTTAAAGTTGATTTTAAGATTCTTTTATCAAAGTTTATTTTTCAGTCTTTACTTTTTAAATCGTTAAGAACACGTATATAAACGTTTTTATTCGTAAATTACTTTTCGTTTGTAAATATGCAGCGAAATGATGGCTCCGTAATGGTCGTTTTGGCAAGGCTCCATCCCAAAGTATATAGATATTTGTTTTATCTAGATTTATGGTATTATAATATATGATATATCCTATCTAATACTGAGTGTTTATTTTGAAATGGAGATAGTCATGTCACACTTTATGATTGTTCTCTTAAATAAAATGTAAGTTAAAATATTTTTAAGAAAACTTGATAATGTAAAGTACAGGGAGATTAGTTACTTAAAAATATCAGGTGGAAAATTGGTTTATACATTGAGGAAGGAAATAGTTTTGGACATAAATAGTATCTTACTGTTCATATGCTGATATTTGTTTTTAACTTCTTGCAGTGCAGCGGCGAGGTGCAGCAAATAACAAGTGATGGGAAACTTATTCCTGTAAAACTGCAGCGGAAATCCGGTAGATATGGCTCGGTAGGAAGGACCGCACGTATTAAATGAAGTGAAGGGTATACGGCAACTACTTGTCTGGTTATTATTGTTGTTATGAAATGAAAATATTAATGTACTAGTAGTAGTACATTTGGTACTCTCTATTTAGAAAACTGTTTGAGGTTTTATACTTCCTCTGATTTTAATAAACATCATTATTGATTTTTATATGATATTTGATTATTTATTTTATTTTAAAATATAAATATTATTTATTTTAATGTGACATGTTTTTATCACTAATGAAACTTTTAAGTATGACTTATACTTTAGCATATTTACATTAAATTTTAAACAAGACGAATAGTCAAATATTATTTCAAATTAAAATCAGCAATATCATCTATTAAAAATGAAGGTAGTTTTTAGTGTCAAATAATTTTATTAGTAATTTATTAAAATTCAAATATGTTTAGTTTATAAATTTTATTTTATATTAAATTCACATTTCTATTTATATTAAGATTATTATTTTATGAGCTATAGTCAAAGTCTAACCTTGAAGACCTTTTTCAAAATATAAATGCCATATCTTTTTTCAGCGGAGAGAATAGCATCAAAAGACTTTAGTATTACATTAGTTATAGTTTTGAAACATGCATATAAAATTCGGGAGGGTCCATGTCACTAATACACACTTATGTTATTTCCCCCAAAATGAAATGGAATATCCAAATATGCATGCTTTCTGGTGCTCCTAACGCGGCAATTTTTTTAAAAAAACTTTCAGCATGTAAGTTTCTTAAAAGATTGTTTTAAATTTATTTTTCAATTTTATAATATTTATTCGTCTATACACTTGAATCATTCACCTATTCAGTTAATAAGCATTCCATTCAATTTCGTCGATAAGAACACACATATATAGCCAACCTCATTAAATTCCTTTGGAACATAGTAATGAAAAACCATAGAAATAAAAAAATAAAATAAAAGTTGATAGAATACAACTGAAATACAGAGAACTAAAAATACAGAGAAATACACATAAATAACCACTGGGATGGAGCGCATGTGAAACACGTGACTTTAAGAAGAGATCAAGACAAAGAAAAGTTCCTCTGGACCTCATGTTAATTTTTTTTTTCTAAAATTTCCATGCATCTTTTCATATGATTCATAGATGTGCAATCTTTTATCGTAAAGGGGTATATATATAGAAAAATTCCTATAGGGACTCAGATCCTGCAAAATTCCTTAAAATAAATCATTTGCTCTGAATGGGCCCAAGTTGATAACTGCATCTTAAGCACGACGTGAGGTTTCTCGAAGTGCTAAACAATACTCTTTTTTTTTAAAAAAAAATCTATACTCTTTATTTTTTAAAAAAAATCTATGCGAAAGTTACAAAATCATATTAATCCATTTTTAATTTTTGCAAACTAACACTTAATTAATCACATGTTAATTCGACTTTTAAGTCCGGACACAAATTAAATTGTTTTTGTTAAGAGTATTACTATATGCATGATTCAGTTGTACATGTAACTATATATCAATTAAAGGAGAATACATTTATATATAGTGTAGCCGTTTATGATGTACGTAAATCGAACATTTGGGTTGTATGCATATTCTTTTGTTAAAATGCAATGCCTGTAATCTGGGCCTACTACCACTTGATGCCACAGGAGCAAAGTCATGCTCTTCTACATTCCTGGGGTAGATGATAGATCATAATGAGATGCTGTTTTTTCCCCCTCTCTTTCTGCGATCTCGTGCCATTATTAACTGGATCTCTGCACCTGTGCCAACCAGGCTCAAGTTCATCTCGGGAGGTCGGCTTTTCTCGCTGGGAAAAAAATGGCCGCTTTTCGGTGGCGTTGCTCGGTGGCTCCTTTTGCTTTCCTAGTTCCCTGTTTGTTCAACTGTCCATTCAATGGCTTCCATGCTTTTACGTGGAAACCCTCGTGCTTTCCTTGAATTAGGATTTGTTTAGTTGGGAAAAATTTTTAGGTTTGGCTGTCATATCGGATATATGGACACATATTTAAAATATTAAACGTAGTGTAATAACAAAACAAATTACAGATTCCGCAAGGAAACTGCGAGACAAATTTATTAAGCCTAGTTAATCTTTCATTGGTAAATGTTTACTGTAGCACCACATTATCAAATCATGACGCAATTAGGCTTAAAAGATTCGTTTCGCAATTTACACGTAATATATGTAATTGTTTTTTTGTTTTGCCTACATTTAATACTTCATGTATGTGTCCAAACATTCGATGTGATAGCGTGAAATTTTTTGTTCTGGGAACTAAACATGGCCTTACACAGGCATATGTTTGACGTATCAACCCTCTAATGTGGAGTACTGTGGGAGACGGAATGCAGATGTCGAACAAAGAGAGTAACGCAAGGCGATTAAACGGAATATGAACGATTAATTGGAAGTCGATGAAGAGGGTACCTATCAACCGTTTTTTCACAACATTGCAACCCTTGGAAATTATTAGTTAACTAGATAATTGAAACTCTTCCATGTTGCTTTCGAAATCTCCTTGATGAATATTTGTTTTCTTTTTAACAATGAAAGTATAATATTTGGTATTGATACCAACTAAGGATGAATACAACTATTTTTAATTATAGACATCACGATTCACTCCCTAGCTCATCGAGTTATGCACATATACATGAACCAACCACCGAGGGTACGTACAGTAGAATTTACTCCCTTTTCTCTTTTGTATGGCGTTGGTTAGTCTAAATTTATACTCCCTCCATCCTAAAATGTTTGACGCCGTTGACTTTTATAAAAATGTTTGACCGTTCGTCTTATTCAAAAAATTTAAGTAATTATTAATTCTTTTTCTATCATTTGATTTATTGTTAAATATACTTTTATGTATACATATAGTTTTACACATTTCATAAAAGTTTTTGAATAAGACGAATGGTCAAACATGTTTAAAAAAGTCAATGGCGTTAAACATTTAGGGAATGAGGGAGTATATATATTAAAGGGTGGAGGTAGTATGTATGCATATATCTTATATAATTTGTGAGGAGGTTGAGGTCCAACTAGAAAAATTTCTCACAAAGGGCAGCAACTGTGCACTTGTGGACTCAACTGATGCATGCTAGCTACTAGCTAGCTAGCTCCAACATTGATCATGAATTGCACCATTGCCATTGTCACCCCCAACTCATCCCAAGAAAAGATGATGAGCACAAAATGGCCACAGCCATTAAAAGCAGCTAGCTAACGCTCTGAGGTTGTTGAGCCATTACTGTTAGTTGGTCTTGGTGCCAAGCTGCAAATGCATCCCCAAGCTAGTATTTTGGAGTGGACCAAGTGAATGCACAATTGCATAATGGAGGAGCAAACGAGTTGGTAGGACGTGCCACTCTGAGAATGAAAAAACAATGCATGCATCAATTCTGTTGTAATTTATGGTGCTAGAGTACATACACAAATGTCGGTTATTCTCTAGACTTGTTCGGTTAATCCCTCCTAAAGAGCAGTGAAGGAAATTTGAAGAGGTGTAAAATTAATCATCCTCAATTGACTCATTTCTTATAGGGATTAACCGAACAAGTCCTAAAGAAAAATCTTTAGTATTTTTTATAAATTTTAAATCATTTCTTGTTAATTTACTTAGCATGTTGCACAAAAATGATCGTAGTATGAACTTTCCTATGCATGAAGTTGGATGAGTTAGAGAAGAGAAGCAATTTCATTTTCTCTAAATTCTTGGCTGGCATCATCATGCCAGGCTATACCATGTCAAGAAGAAAAAGATAAGTATCAGATGCTTGTCCAACCATGACACGGTTTGGAAGACCCATACACATGCACGCACGCTTTATTATTTTTTTCTCCTCCTGGCAGAGAGGGTTTGGATAGAGATTTATATTATATTTGTCAAACAGGTGATGATGTGGTCGTTCAAATTTGAAAGCAAATAATTCTTATTTAATAAGTAAAAATATATTATTCCAAAATTGGAGGTGAAAATAAATCCAACCAATTCGGCAGCTAAGGGTTGTAAAATAAATATTTTTTTCCTAAACAGATTAAAACATGTTCTCAAAACATATCAGTTATTTTGAGCATGTGAGTCAACCTAACGCATGCTGATCAATGCTCAGAGGTGAGGATATATTTGATCAGAGGAACATGCATTGGCTGCAAACTTTCTGGCACAATCACAAGATTCCAGAGCACATCACATGCAAATATGCAATGTGGAGGCCGGGAAAAAGGTGCACATCCCATTTTTTTTATTC